CTTTTTTTATGATTTTGGACGACATGCTATTCTATGAGTTTTTTTAATGATTTTGGACGACATAGTATACTATGACTTTTTTTATGATTTTGGTCGACATACCTCGACATGACTTTTTTTTATTATTTTTGATGACATACTATACTATGACATTTTTTATGATTTTGGACAACATGCTATTCTATGACTTTTTTTAAATGATTTTGGATGACATGCTATACTATGACGTTTTTTTTATGATTTTGGACGACATGCTATTCTATGACTTTTTTTAATGATTTTGGACGACATAGTATACTATGACTTTTTTTTATGATTTTGGACAACATACTATACTATGACTGTTTTTTATTATTTTTGATGACATACTATACTATGACGTTTTTTATGATTTTGGACAACATGCTATACTATGACTTTTTTTAATTATTTTTGATGACATACTATACTATGACGTTTTTTATGATTTTGGACAACATGCTATACTATGATTTTTTTTATGATTTTGGACGACATGCTATTCTATGACTTTTTTTAATGATTTTGGACGACATGCTATAATATGACTTTTTTTATTATTTTTGAAGACATACTATACTATGACTTTTTTTATGATTTTGGACGACATACTATGACGTTTTTTATGATTTTGAACGACATGCTATACTATGACTTTTTCTTTTATTTTCGGACGACATGCTATACTATGACTTTTTCTATGATTTTGGACGACATGCTATACTGTGATGTTTTTTATATGATTTTGGATGACATGCTATACTATGACTTTTTTTTATGATTTTGGACGACATGCTATAATATGACTTTTTTTTATGATTTTGGACGACATACTATACTATGACGTTTTTTATGATTTTGAATGACATGCTATACTATGACTTTTTCTATGATTTTGGACGACATGCTATACTATGACTTTTTCTATGATTTTGGACGACATGCTATACTATGACTTTTTTATGATTTTGGATGACATGCTATACTATGACTTTTTTATGATTTTGGATGACATGCTATACTATGACTTTTTTATGATTTTGGACGACATGCTATACTATGACTTTTTTATGATTTTGGACGACATGCTATAATATGACTTTTTTATGATTTTGGACGACATGCTATAATATGACTTTTTTATGATTTTGGACGACATGCTATAGTATGACTTTTTTTTATGATTTTGGACGACATGCTATACTATGACTTTTTTTTATGATTTTGGACGACATGCTATACTGTGACGTTTTATATATGATTTTGCTTACTATTACTTTTTTTTATGATTTTGGATGACATGCTATACTATGACGTTTTTTTTTATGATTTTGGACGACATGCTATACTATGACTTTTTCTATGATTTTGGACGACATGCTATACTGTGACGTTTTTTATATGATTTTGGACGACATGCTATAATATGACTTTTTTATGATTTTGGATGACATGCTATACTATGACGTTTTTTCATGGTTGCTGACGACATGCTATACGATGACGTTTTTTATGATTTTGGACAACATGCTATAATATGACGTTTTTTTTTAATGATTTTTGATGGCATGCTATACTATGACGTTTTTTCATGGTTTTTGAAGACATGCTATACTATGACGCTTTTCTAGTTTTGACGACATATTATACAATTACGTTTTTTAATGGTTTTCAACGACACACTATACTATGATTGTTTTGTAGTAAATCTTTGTTTGTTTGTTTTAGCCATAGTTTTTTTTTTACCACACACTCATTTGTTGTGTGGTTCATATCTCTTTCTCTTCCTGTTTTCACACCCACTTCACTTCCCCCCTGAAGAAGAACAGTACACAGAGTAGTTCGTAATTTTGGGATAAATAATTTAATGCAGTTATATTTTCAACAGTATGTGCACTCTCACCCACAAAGGAGAAACAGAAAACAATAAGCCTGTCCATCCCCATCTTCTCTTTCCTCCTTCTTTCCCAAAAATAAGACAAATGGGTAAACAGGAAACAAATAAATGTTGGTGTAATATTGCTCAGTGCAGCCTCTAAATCCCTCCACCAGCACCACTGAAGCTCTCAGTAAACCACCGCAATACACACTCTGCTCACTCTAATGCATGCTTCAAATACAAGTACCGCTATCAGTTCATATAGTGAACACGCGCACACACACACACACACACACACACACACACACACACACACACACACACACACAGATATCAGTGAAGACCCAGTATGTGAAACATAATGAGCACATGTCCATCAACATTCCCAGTCAGATCCAAACTTTGGGCTTACATCACTTTGTTTTTTTTTTTTTTTTTTTTTAAATATTTGGTGAATCATTCATTTGTCGGAGTCACACCAGATAAACAGGAACACAATCTCACTCAAAGTTCACTCTGCTAGGCTTCAGATTATTATCATGGTTTTGGATCACGGAAACTTACAAAACAAATGAAACAAACTGCAGTTAACATTTAAAACCTCCAGAGATGAAACATTAAAAACCAACAAAATCTGTTTTATGAAGAAGTGAAACAGTCGTCTGTTTCAACTGTTTGAAAAGTGACACTGACACTTTACCAGCTGCAACATCAAGGAGCTTCAGTTTAGTTTATTATTTCAGTAATTCTTTTCAGTTTACTTTTCACTTTCAATATTTGAGTATTTCCTGATTTACAGAGGATCATTCTACCCACAATTAAAATAAAATAGGGGCGTTGGTGGCTTAGTGGATAGAGCAGGCGCCCCATGTTCAGGGCTGTTGCCGCAGAGGCTTGACTCCACCCCCGATGCTTCAGTGTCCTATCGATTAAAGGCAAAAATGCCCCAAAAAATATATCTTTAAAAAAAAAAAATAAAATAATAATAATAATTAATTAAAAACCTCCTGATTAAAAAGGAAACTGGATAATAACTGGTTTAAACATTTTAAAATGGAAAAAAACACTAATTTCTCATCATTTTCTTTTATATGATTTCATTTTCCTTTTTTAATTTCAAACTCAGGCTGCGTTCACACCTGCTCTGTTTGGTTCAGTTCAGTCTAACTCAGGTTGGTTTGTGCAGGTGTGAACACACCAAAACAACCAGACTGAGACCTTCTTGAAGAGGTGGTCTCAGTCCGGTTCCAAAGGAACTCTGGTGCGGTTGGTTTGTGGTGAGAAGGTGTTCCGACCTGGATGTGAAGCAACTGCAGTCACATGACACATTGTTTGGGTTAAACATGAGCATGTTACAGTCCTGGAGGATTATTAATGTGCACCTCCTCCTGTACTGCCTTAATATGCACATTCAGCACATCCAATGCATCAAAACATTGTTTTCTAGTTGGAGCCGCGCCTCGTTTTCAAACTGTATGTTTTGACTAAAATGAACAATGACAGCAATATAGTCCACGATGAGCAGCGCTAAAATCAACCTGCGTAGTTGTCCCTCCATTGTGACATTAGAAAGTGTCACATTTATCTTGCAAGTGTACTCTTCTTCAACGTTTGCTTTACTTCCTGGATTTTTCCCACATGGAAATTCTGACCAATCAAGAGCAGCTTTCTCACACAAGGCATTTGATCTGGTCCTCTTGTAAATGCTGCCGTGAGAACACTAACCAACTCTAGGCAATTATACAACTTTGGAACAACATGAGTCCCTGATTCGGACCAGAGGAGACCACTTTAGGGCTGACAGCAGCCTGAATTATCACAATGTCAGTTTGTCACTTTAATATCCAGTTTCCTCTCTAACATCCGAGTGATGCTTCAAACTGCTTTTAAAGAAAGATAAAAACCACCATCAGGAGGCTTTAAACATGCACGACACGTACAGGAAGATCAATGGATCCAGCTGTTTGTTGTCAGACACAAATATTACAAACTGACACTTGAGTTACTGAGAGGACAGTCGGGGAGGTTAAATCTGATGTGGGCTTATTGTAATGAAGCTTATAAAGGTCACCATTCCTAAAGATCACAATCAGTTCAGTGACAGAAGCTAACGGCTGAGTTTCTGGGGGGTTCCTTTAGAGTGAACTGTCTCTTTAGGTTTAGAAATGTACTGCAAGTCTCTGTGAATACTTTGAGGACATGATGGACAGCAGGGTGTTTGGGAGTACAGTTACATCACAGCAGTTTCAGTATGTTAATATTAAAAACCTCTAGCCAGTGGCCGTCAAAGACAAACTGACGTCTTCACTCCTAAATTAGGTTTGTCTTCATCTACACGACAGATTATAAGTGTTATTCAAAGTGTGGCTGTGTGTGACTGCACAGATTGTGTACATGAAGGTATCTTAAAACTGACTCTGTTAAAGTCTGTAAAGTCTGTTTTAAGTCAGATGGCTGTAAACCTGCTCCCTGCACCGCTGATGGTACCAACACTGTGTGTCTGATACTGTTACAGTACTCTGATGTGAGTGAGTCTGCCTGTAGGTCGGGTCACAGCTGGATTATGAGACCACGGGCACCTGGGCACAGACATGTAAACGGGCCCCCAACCCGCCTCCATAGGAACGAACTTTGTCATCTCCCTCAGACCTCTTCTGGTCATTCAGTGTCCATTTTGTTTCTCTTCCCAGCTGTTTCCTCCTCCTTCTTCTTCTTCTTCTTCTCGGCTGTTTTGTTTCTCTTCCTGATAATTTAATTTCTCATTTCGGCCGTTGTGTTTCTCTTCGTAGCCGTGGCTGTTCGGCATCTCTTCACAGCCATTTTGTTTCTCTTCCCAGTGGTTTTGTTTTGTGCCTCTTGGAGGTCAGCGTCTCTCCGTGGTCGCTCATCGTGGTTGTTTTGTTTCTCTTTGAGCTCGTTTTGTTTCTTTTTGTTTCTCTTCGTGGTCGTTCCACTGTTTAGTGTCTCATTTTGGTCACTGTGTTCCTCTTCATGGCCGTGGTTGTTCAGCATCTCTTCACAGTTGTTTTGTTTCTCCTCACAGTAGTTTGGTGTCTCTTGAGGGTTCTTTACAGTTTCTACATGTTCGCTCATCATGGTTGTTTTGTGTCTCTTTAAAGCCATTGGCTCTCTGACCTCGGGCCCTGGTGTCTGCACCTTGTCGGCCCCGTCATGAATCCACCCAGTGTGAAGGTGAGGTATGTGTTTTCCTTTGTTCCCTGTCTGTGTGATGATTTATGGTACACACCTGCCATCCTGTTCCCCTGTAAGAGCCTGTGTAAGTGTGTGTGTGTAAGTGTGTGTGTGTGTGTGTGTGTGTGGGGTGTACCTGCACTGACAGGTAGAGGTGAATTGTTGTGTTAATATGACAGCTAGCTCTCACACTGAAGGGCGCTGCTGTCCTTTGCCGAGGACTCTTCTGTTTTATGTGTGTGTGTGTGTGTGAGTGTGTGTGTGTGTGTGTGTGTGTGTGTGTGTGTGTGTGTGTCCTAGTATCTGTCTACATCATGACTTTTTTTTGTTGTTGTTGTTTTTTTAAGAGAACACAGACGTGTGGTGCTCTCTGGTCGCTGCAGTATGACCTCAGACTCAGCCTGGGATCTTAAACTGTAAAAAGTCCTCAGTTTTAAACCTGACGTGACAAAGTGAGGTCGTAGTTCAAGCTGCAGCTTCTCTCTGAACGTTCATGAAGCTGGACACAGACTTTACGTCTTAATTCATCCTAAATGTTCTCACTCTTCAACATATGACTCCGTCCCTGAATGTAAACACGAGATCCCTGATTGGTCGAGACCGTAGACATTTCTAATAAAGTTTTATCAAACAAGTCGACCGGGTCCTCAAATACTGACAAAGAGAGAAAAGCAGCGTTACTCTGAGATTCTGTTTTAATGTCAACGACCCGTCTGGTGTCACGACTTCTACGGGCTCGTTTATGCTTACCGTTAGATACAGAGACAGACGGCGCCTTCTGCGTTCATTTCATCCATATTTGTGCACGTTTTCTGAAAGATTACAGATACGGACGAAACAGAACAGAGCCGCCAGAGATGGTGGAGGTGGAGTAGCATAATTTAAGTGAGATACGACCAAAGGAGACATCAAAGACATTTAAATACAGGTGGAACAAATATGTAAAACAGTGAAACTATTCTCTGTCCACATGTCAGGACGTATTTAATGACCTCACAAACCATCGCCGTCTACAACGCTGCATATGTTTAAAGGTACAACATCACAACCTCCTCCACTGTCGCCTCGTTTGACTCCGCCCTCTTGTGTCATCTATTGTCTGTATCTATGTCAGCATAACAGACACATCAACATGAAACAAAAACCAATCAATGCAAAAATTCAGCCAAACTCTGAGTTCAATCAGCTGTTCGGTGTGTCGGCCTGCCATTAAACCTGTAACTGAGCAACAAACTGTTTTCCATTTTCTCTCTCTCAGTGCATGCTGGGATTTTAGGCTCCATCCTGCCATGACTCTTATTTGTTTTATATACGTACCTTAAATGTCTCTGACATGTTGGACTTTATGAATCTGTACCAACCTGAAATAATCTGAAACAGTGATTTAAAATAAAACAACGTGTAGAAATGATTCCTCTGTGAAGGTTTCAGCTTCAGTGTGGACACGCAGTGTGAAGAGTTCAACCTAAAAATGGGGCAAGATATTCCTATGTAAAAAAAAAAAAAAAAAAAAAAGATTTAAGAAGCCTGAGAAAAACTATGTTTTTAACCCGTCAATGATCTTGCGGGGCAACACGTCCTCGTACCTGAGGGGCATAACTGGTGGTTTGACTTCCAAAAAACATCTGACTGTTGGAGAGTATGGACGCCAGACGCTTGTACTCATAGAACTGGAGTTACATTCAGTAACTACGATTTAATGTCACATTTTGTTTAGATTTAGGAAAAGTTTGGGTTCAACAGGCTGTTCTCATGGTCTGTTCCTACGTCTACCTACACAAAGTAATTCACCAAAATTCATACGTATCCTACGTAATGATAAACCAGCAATCCGTGCAAAACCCACGCATCTTTGGAGGCTTTGATCACGTGACCAATGTGCGACGGGAGAACAGCAGGAAGCGTTCCTGAGTGGCCGAGTCAGGAGGAAGGTCTAGGTGGTGAATGGGTCATAAAACACAGGACTTTCCCCACGAGGCGGTGTTCAGAATTGTGCCAACTTTGAGGCATTTTAAGGAACGACGTCACCGTGTTTCTTTTCCTAAAGCTAACCACAGTAACTTTACATTAAAGGGTTAGTTACGTTTTGTTAAATGGAGCTGTACGAGGTACTTGTCCATAGATAGAGTATTACATACAGCAGATGTCAGTCAGCACGTCTCCAGTCCACAGCAGCAGGTGCAGGGGCGTGGCTTTAATAAGGACAACATAGACGACCTTTTTGGGGGAGCACGATCTGATTGGTCCTAACTCAGGCTGGACCGCTGCTTTAGAAATATTTTCAGATGTCTTTAGGTTGACCAGGTGTGTGAATAAGTGTGTGTGTCTGTGACCAACACGTCAGCCTGAATATAAGTCTAACTGCGTCTGTGTCACACATCAAAACCTTCCCATGTGAAAAGAATTCACCAAACGTCTGTCCACACACACACGTTTACTGTACTGTACACACAACATATTCACGCACACACACTTCTACCATCTACTCTAACTGGTACCTGTTTCCTCCATAAAGTCAAGCTCCAGAGTTTCAAACCAGAAACAGAGTTCGACAAACGTTTGCTCAAAAATCTCAGATCAGTTCGTCTGTAAAGAGAAAGACACACACACACACACACACACACACACACACACACACACACACACCTACAGTACAGATCTCTGTGAGAATCTTTGGGTTCACTGATATGTGGACTGATGTTTGAGCAGCGTCAGATGAGTGTTTGACACCTCAGCTATGATCTGAACAGCTAACCTGTGTGTGTGTGTGTGTGTGTGTGTGTGTGTGTGTGTGTGTATGTGTGTGTGTGAGTGTGTGTGAGAGGTGTGTATCTGTGTGTGTGTTTGTTAGGACGAGGCCGGCTTGCTGTAGTCTTCGACCCCAGTGATGGTGGCTTTGCAGAAGAAACAGTCCTTGTTGTTCATCAGGTGCTGGTTGATACAGGCTCTGCACACAAACCACAGACAGGTGACAAACGAGAATCATTTTAATGACCATGTCAAACGACATGTGGAGGTCAGAACAGAGTGTGTGTATAAAGTGTCTAAAACTTGTGGGGACTCACTGGGGCTGGGCGATAAAGCTTAAAAATAATATCGCAATATTTTTAGGCTGTATCACGATACACGATATATGTCGCACATTGTGATACCTTGTCTAAACTACTGCAGACTGCTCAGAAAGAAATAAAGTACTGTTCTAATAAAATTCTAATATGATAAAGTAATAGTCAAATTAAGTTTTGTTATAGTTAAATAAACTGGTGCTTTTATTTTGAAGCACCGGCTTGTCTCGGACAGGAAGTGTTGATGTTTTGCTGTGAACCAGAAGCTTCCAGTCGACAGTTAGCTGTTAGCAGTTAGCCGAGAGTTAAAGTGTTTTCACTGCGTCGTTAAACGTGAGGATTTGTTCCCTCTGATGGAGACACACACACTTACAGCTCCACAGCTTATATATTAATGACATTTACATGTCTCAGTGATTGATTTCATTGATGGACACTGAACATTTTGACTTTTGTGGATGAGTATAAGCTAACAAGACAAATACCACGAAAATGTTTTAATGAGAGGACGTGAAACAAGTCTGATAATGCTACTAGCCTATTAGCTCATTTTGCTGCTGCTCTTGGAGCCCTGAGCCGTTAAAGTTAACCCTCGTTAAAGCTGCTTAATATTAAGATTAATTTGGCCTTAAATGATAAATGTAATTTGACTCATGAATAGAAGAGAAGTAGTGAAACAACAACAAATGCTTCTAATAACGTGGTATGCATGAGCTATACATGATGTCAATTATAATAACTAAATAATTAATTAACTTTAAATAATGATCTTTTTGGGGGGGCGGGGTTTCTGCACTGGTTTTAGATTTGGTTTACGCACAAACATCAAACCTGAACTGTTCAGTAAATGTCTGTCAGGGGCGTCGCCCTCATTTTGTCCTATCAGACAACAACAGGCTGTGTAAGGTCACATGAAGAGGAGGAGGGAGCGTGACTGAAGGAAACACATGAGGAGAAACTTCAGAGTAAAACAAGCTTTTTAAAGTTTAGTTAAAAGTTGGTGAACTGCTCCTTTAAGTCCAGAGCGGGGGACAAACAGACAAATAAAAGCGAGCCAGAGTTTGGCCTTGGAGGTGAATTGACTGCGAGCTGCTCAGTATGGTTTACTCCTCGTGACAGCGCTCTCAATCAGCACCACAGTAATCCATACGACTGCTGAGCTGGTGTGCCAGCTGAGCTAAATCAAGCGCACCTCCAGGATAACATGAAATATGCATTGAGGTATGAATTGAACCGAGGTCTGCTGCCCACTGCGCTGCACAGGGTTTCAGCCCCATCAGCAGTTACCAAACAGCTGACTCACACACACACACACACACACACACACACACACCTATATGCAGGTGTGTATGTGTGTGTATATAAAGTATTTATACATCAAATATATAGTGAAGTGTGTGTGTACATATATTCTGAGATGATAAATGTGTGTGTGTGTGTGTGTGTGTGTGTGTGTGTGTGTGAGTGAGTCAGCTGATGGATCGATGAAGCAGCTTCAGGCTGAGACGAATGACACTGAAACATTTTGGAGGAAATCAAACTTTATTTTGTGAACTTGTTTAACTCTGTGAGGACCTGTTCAAATGTGTCTCAGTGTCTTTTTTTAAATGTATTTCAGGACCATAAACTTTAAACATGCAGGTGAGGCGTGCGTCACTGATAATCATTAATCATCACTAAGGACTGAGTGTATTAATATGAGTCATCAGTGTGAGGATGAGGAGGGACGCTCTGCAGCAGCCTGAAGGTGCAGCAGTGAGTGTTTCTCTCTGTGTATCAGTCTGGACTCACTGTCAGTGGGCGGGGCTACTCGACTGACAGACAAACTCTTTGAGCCAATCAGCAGAACAAAACACCGGGAGCATCTTCATCACCAACAGAGCCAGTTTATTACTCAAGCTTTTGCCAAATCCAGTCTGACGACTGGTGAAAATGTCTTTTCCTCTGAGGAACTCTGTCAGGTCAGACTGTTGTTGTTTACTTGTTGTTGTTGACTCTGTTTCTGCTGTGTTTACTCTGCTAACGTCAGAGTTAGTGCTTGTTGCTTCAGGAGCCGCCGTCACTGCTCTGCAAGCTGCGTTTACGTCATCCAACTACAACACAGTCCCTGATTGGCTGCTTACGTCATCAACTACAGTGCTGATCCCTGATTGGCCTGATTAAGATTTTAATAAATTGTTTGGGTGAAACAGGATGTTGAGCCCCCCCCCCCGGTATGATGTCATTAAATGTTTTTATGTGGAGCTGTGTGAAGAGGGAGAAAACACTGATCCACTGTGAGACCACAGGAGCTTAAAATATATCATGATATAATTGTTTGGTCACACGGTGCAGCGCCACCGCTGATGATGATGATGAAAGTGACCACATGAAAGACGTGAACACTTTGATCATATGTGAACGTCATATTTCAGCACGGAGCAGATCAAAGTCGTGATCTCTGCAGCAGGAACGAGGAGCTGAAACTTTCTCCTCCAGACTGTGTTTGTGGGTGAAGAGGCAGGAGATGAAATATGTGTGTGGGGTGTTGCACATGAAAGAACCTGTGTGTGTGTGTGTGTGTGTGTGTGTGTGTGTGTGTGTGTGTGGTTTATTTGTGTTGGCGGGTGTTTGTGGACTCACTTGCAGGACTTGTGGGAGCAGGGCTTGAAGATGGCGGAGATGGAGTGAGCGTAGCAGATGGGGCAGAGGTCTTCTTCACTGGTCGGCTGAGAGAGAGAAAGAAAACAGGTTATTTTGAACCATTTGTAAAGACGTGTGTGTGTCGCCTCCATCTCTCTGTTAAATGACCAAATGTCCTCCTCCTCCTCCTCCTCCTCCTCCTCCTCAAACCTGCGTTTTACAGTCTGGATGTTTCTTTTCATTTCTGAACACGTAACAATAGAAACATCATTAAACAGAGTTCTGAGAGAAAAATCATTTCAGCAAATAAAAGTGAGGAGAAGTGAAGATAGAAATATTGATTGAGATGAATAAATCCACAGTTTCCTTCTGGAGAGGACCGCAGAGTTGTAATGTGCTGTTTGGACTCTTTAAAGACAGAAACAAAGGACTGTGACTCTCAAGAACTTTCTGTGACAACTCAGCAGAACTCGAACCGTCTCAGTATCGACCTGCTGCCACTTTAAACAAACAGAAATGAAACAGAAATCTTTTCTCTTCCTCCAGAAACACAGCAAAGCCACACCACACCTGATCCACCTATCAGCAGCTATACACCCAATGCATCATGGGACGACTGAGGTGTTGAGGGGGGCACGTTTCTGGAGGACTTGATCATCATCAGGGCTGCTCCCTGACCAAACGTTAGGTCATTAGTCAGCAAGATTTCACTGGTCAGACAAAAACAAACAAAACAAAAAAAACAAACTCTAATTATCATCATCATCATCATCATCATCATTCCACTCTCACTTCCGTTCTCTGCACTTTTCATCTGTTGACTGTTTTATGTTTTCACTTCACAACCTTCCTCACTTCAGACATGATCTCCCACGAGCCTCACTGCAGCACGCTGAGTTTTGACTCCATTTTCATAGTTGTTTTTTATTGATCTTATTTTGTGATCATTATGTTGCTCAGGCAACGACGGCCACACCATTTTGTTGTAATTGTGCATTGACAAATGTCTGTCAGGGATCCAGGACTTTCTGCTCCTCCTCCTCCTTCTCCACCTCCTCCTCCTCGAGCTCATTACTGTGACACCTTCCTCACACTGTGCTGTCACATTTTACCTGCTCACTGCTTCTTACTGTTACTTCCTGTTTACAGCTCTGTGTATGTTCCTACCTGCTCACATCACATTAAAATATATTATTCTATATTTCAGTTTATTCATGTCATCACGACTGGTCCACCACAGTATCATATTATTTTCAGTTTTTTATTTTACCCCCATATCCTAACTCGTGCACTGTGTCATGTTTCACGTCCTGGATCTTCACTACATGTGTGTTTTATACTGCAGCAGCTGTCACTGTGGTGCACACCACACATAAAGACTCTCAGCTTAAAACAACACAATCTCTGTTATTACACATTCGACAGTATCAAAAGTACCGAAATGATAAATCCAAACAGGTGTATGATCAGATTTTTAACTCACGGCTGCATAGACGAAACAACGGAGCAAAAAATTGTGATTTGTGATATTGGGCTTTATAAATAAAATTAAAATTGAAATTGAAAATCACCTGATCTTCAACCTGATGTCAGTAGCCCCGCCCCCCAGCAGAACAATACACGATATGACACCATCAGTGACGGATTGGCCATCTGGCATTTGGGCAAATGCTAGAACGGCCGCATGGTCCTGCGGCCGCCGGCCGCCAGGCAAAAAAAATAAATAAATAAAAATAAATAAATAAAAATTTAAAAATAAATAAATAAATCTGCTCTTGGCGGCCTAAAACATTTTTATCGGCCACAATATACATATAAGTAGTAGCCTAAATATAATTTTAAATAAATATGAGTGAAATGGGGCTACCGGTAATATAAAGTGTTTTTGGTCATCAAGCATTTTCTCGCGATCATTAAGTGATGACATTTGACATCTGACAAGTGACGAATGAATGACGGGTAATGCACTCAACGTCAACAACAACATCACAACAAGAAAAGAAAATGGATCGAGGCACGAAAAGACGGGTGGAGAAGGGTGGAGCGGAGAAAAAGAGAGAAAAAAAGGAAAGCTATGCTCGCGGAGAGTGAAAAGTATGCGAAAATATCAGATTTGTTTACAAAAAAGTGTTTTCCCGGCAGCGACAGACCGAGCACCTCTGCAGCAAGTGCAGCTAGCAGTACGGCCTCTGCCTCAGAGAAGAGCAAACTCCTTCGCAGCCTGCTAACTACTTAAATGTAAGGCATAATAATAATGATAAATAATAACTTAATTTGTATAGCACCTTTCAAAACGGAGTTACAACGTGCTTTAACAATAAAAACAATTACACAATAAAAACAATTAGTACATAAAACAATAAAACATCAAATAATTTAAAAAGTTACAATAATTAATTACCATCAATAAAGAAAAGACCATACGATAAATGTGAGTCTTAAGAAGAGATTTAAAAGAAGACACTGAGAGACACATATTTATTTTTATACTCCAGCTGTGCAGTGCTCTTGTCATGTTTTGCTGAAGCTTTTGTAATATTCATTGTGGTTGGTGTAAGATTTAAATTTGGCTGTGCTGTATTCTGTCCAAGGGGGGCGCCTATGGTTAATGGTGGAAGTAGGCTAAGCCTTCAGGATGAAGTTGTGTGTTGTTTGATTTCAGATTTTCGTGTTTTGGTAGACATAGAGCTAGTATTATTAACTGAGTTTATTAGTCTGGCCTTTGAACGTGCCTGAATTTATGGGGGTTCTGCTGCTGCCTTATTATCTTGTGTGTTGTGCATTGTTGTCTACTGTACCAGTGCGATTGTAGTGAGTTGATTGCGTGGTGTGTGTTCTGAATTTCTGTATTCTCATCATATGGTTAGCTTTCCACATGCTCCCATGCAAGCCACTAATCAATTTTATCATTCATATTGACTGTGTCTGTATATCTCCTCTTCTATTGTGCATCAAGGCAGTGAGTGAGTTTCTATGGTAGCTGTGGAACAGTCTGTGTCTCTGTGGCGCTCTGACACGTTCCGCCAATGGTAGCGTTTTTTATGTTAGTATGTGTAAAATCATCCATCACAGTACCCAGTAATATGTGGGAGGAGGATATGAGACACCACGCCTGTTCTTTCACAAATAAAGAACTGATGATCTAAAATGACGTAAAAATGCATATTTTTTTGTAAAATAATATGAAAAATTTTTCACCCCTGGCTGGACGATGCGCCGCCGTGGGGCCTCTGTGTCAAAAATGCCAGGGCCTCTTGTTGGTCCCAGTCCGTCACTGGACACCATAAAAACTGCTCGCGACTGAACGTGACAAAGCTGAAAGCGTCGGCCTGGACTCAACATTAGTAGTTGGCCTGACGGGACATTGTAACGCGTCGTAGAGACATAGAGACCTCAGCTCAGATTATTACTGCAGCTGTCTGAGGGGTTTAACCCCGTCTGCTCCGACTGTCAGCTCCAATAACTTGGTGCTAAATTTAGGCTCTTCAGTTTATCTTGTGCTTTTTGTGGTCGGTGTTGGATGGTGGTGTCGTGTGGCTGCGAGACACTCAACTCTCCTCCTGCCGACCCTGCTACAGTAACTAGCTGCTAGCTAGCCAGGTTTTCAAGTGCAAACACAAGATGGACACCAGCTGAACTCACGTCCTGCTAGGCAGTGTGCAGCCGTTGGAATATAACCTGGACCTCCATCAGGCTCCAACAGGATATCAGGAACTGTGACATCCTGTCATTCACTGATACTTAATCCTGGACAGCTCTGTTTCTATCAGCGGATCTGAAGATGCAAAGGATTCTGGGGGAGACGGAGAGGAGGCGTGGCTTTAATAAGGACTGGTGTGACAGCACAGAGGGGGCGTGGCTTTAATAAGGACTGGTGTGACAGCGCAGAGGGGGCGTGGCTTTAATAAGGACTGGTGTGACAGCGCAGAGGGGGCGTGGCTTTAATAAGGACTGGTGTGACGGTGTGAATGTGAGCTGCTGTCCTGTTCCTGCTGTGGATCACTGCTTTCCACTGTTCAGAGGTGGCTGCAGAGCGGTGCTGCCCGTGTTCAGGAGAAGTGACCACGCAGCCATCTTGTTGAGGTCGGAAAAATAGAGGTGTTTGATTCCATGTGATGAATAAATGATTGATTGATTGATTGATTGAGAAGAATCCTCAACAAATTCAAACTGTCTCTTTCCACAGCTGTTTACTGTTGTGAATCTTACGTGAATTTGACTCAGGTGTTTGTTTAAACATGAGACCAGTGTGTGTTTAATCAGTGACAGATTAAGGCGAGGAGGTTCAGGTCTGGAGGTTCAGGTCTGGAGATTCAGGTCTGGAGGTTCAGGTCTGGAGGTTCAGGTCTGGAGATTCAGGTCTGGAGGTTCAGGTTGGGTTTTTTTTGTCTCTGTTTTTCTGCCCTCACAGTCCAACTCTTCTTTTTTCCCTCCACCATCCCACACTCTACTTCCTGTCTGAGACTCTCGCCGTCCTCCTGTCGTATCCACACAGCATGCTGTCTACCCACCAACACCTGTATCTGCCCCCTCATTTCCTCCTTTAGTCCTCCTCCATATAAAGCACCACCTCTCCTTTCTCCTCGTCACCACCCACAGAACGCTGGCTGTCAAAGTGCTGCAGAGCAGGAACATTACACCAGAGAGGAAAGGCTCTCATTAAATTTCAGTGACAGGTGAAACCTTCGTACTTTGACTGAGAGCTGCTGGAAGATGTTTCAGACAAAATTACAGTAGTAATTAAAAACTATCATCTTCATCTTAAAGATATTTTCCTTTGTTTTTCTTTTCTTGACGATGTTGTGTCCAGAAAATAAGACATTTAAATGTCTTCATGCAGCACAGGTGTCTCACTGTGGACAGACGTCTCTACTGAAACACCCAGAGACGTTTTCCTTGTCTTCCTGTTGTGTCTCCAGCTCCACCCTCTCTGTTCAACCTTATTCACTTCCATTTATTCATCAATTCTCATTTCTTTCCTCCGTTGATCCTCCCCATCATTCTGCTCTCACTCTGTTCGCATCTAATGTCCCTCCATCATGGCGCTGATTGTTCCTTTAAGGCTCTCAAACAGTCGGACCTTTGA